GGTAAATTTGCTGCTAACGCAGGCATGTTGCAAACTGTTTGTTCCATTTCATCCTGTAAATGATCAGGTTTGTGCCATCAACATGAGTCTGGATTCATTGAACCTCGTAACATTTTTCTACTTCTTAACTTCCCAGTACTTATCATCATCATATCCACTAGTCTGTTCATTCGATCTTTCTGGTCTCGACTAACAGCCAAGATACTTATGAACATCCACGGCTACAATGTTTTAGTTTGTTCTTCTATTTAGATGTTATTATGTATGAAAATGCCAGGAAAAATACTGTTTTTGAAATACTGGAGCTGGTCTGTCTAGTATCAATGATCATACTATGCTCAATTTGCCAACTTATTTTTATTTAATATTCTGCTATTGCAACAAACAAATCTGTGAATGTGAGAAAAGGGTCATCTTAATATCTTAATAAAAGATTTAAAAAAGAAATAAAATGCACCTTTAAAATGAAATAATTATTCATATGATTAACATATCTGAAGGCAGTTTCATATTAAAATTTAATGTTGCTTTTTTTTATTAAATTATTTAAATAATCTTCAAAAATGAATTCCAAAATTAATGTAATATAACAAAAGTAATTACTTTGAATTTGAAGATTACAAATCAAATGAAATTGAATTTCTGCTGACCAACTAATTCTTTGTTTTATTTATTTGTTGAAACCGTGCCTTCTTCTTGTTGTTTTGCTTGGTTCAATGTCACGACTTGGTGAATTTATTGACACTTGGCAAATAATTTCATCATCAACTTTTAATCTATATAGATACGCATTTCGGACATGTGGCACTCTGGGGAGGTGAGATTGTTTCATGTTGCAAGGCATGCAGGGGAGGCCATCAAGTCGGAAGGGAAGTGGGAAGATGTAGTGCAGAAGGTGCCTGACAGATGTCCACAAGATACAACCTATGTAACAGACTGAAGAGGAGTGAAAGCCTGAAATGCGTATCTATATGGATTAAAAGTTGATGATGAAATTATTTGCCAAGTGTCAATAAATCCACCAAGTCGTGACATTGAACCAAAATAATTCTTTATTATGGTATGTTTGTGCTAATTTGGCAAGCCTCCTGGTGTGATTACCTATGGACTTCCATTACCATGAAAATGTCAGTCGTCACAAGTCCTAAATTTACTCAAGTTTTGTTTCTGTGTGCATGTGTGCGTGTGTCCAAAAATTGGTACCAAAGGGCAATGGGCGTTTTGACACCCACTTAATGGTTGCATTGACGAGCTTTTGAGGCAACCATGGCAAAGAAGCCACCTAATAAAAAATACATATATACACAATTTATAATCTTATAATCGGATTCCTTATTGTTTGTCATTATTGGCAATAATTTATGAAATATTTTGTTACTATATTTTGAAAATGGGTATTTTTAAACTGATCACATTTATCCATTTGGTTGTCTTATTTTGAAAGTATCCTGGTGATGTGTACATTGATACAAACACTAAGTGTAGCTGTGTATTGACTAACTTCAAACTTTGCATTGCAGAACTGCTGTTCTTACAACATTTGTAATCAGATATTGTAAAATATTTATTGTAGTATTCTTTCATGCATTTTTTTTATTTTACTATTCGAAATAATAGTTTTCTAAAGTAAAACTTTTGGCCAAGTTTCCTTTCTAGAAGAGAACAATTCAATTTTTAATTGTTTTTGTAATTTTAATGAAGTTGAATTGTTTTGAATTAGTTTCATACAGCTTATCATATTGGAATTTTTTTATAATTAAGTAGTCAAAGAACTTTTCTAAAATATTACATTTCTAAAGTTACAGAAAACAATTATATAAAGGTATTAATGTTATTCCTATAAACTTTGCTATATGTTAGGCTATATTATTAATTTATGTTTTTAAGAAAAATATTTGACTATTTAGATTAGGGGTCCCCATAGTGGTCGATATCAACCCCAAGGGGTCGATTAATACCAAACAGGATCAATTAAACTGTCTAGGAAAAAGATAGAATATTCCAATAAAAATTTGAAATACGGATATGCTCAACAACATTACTGACTACCCTAGTTATAACTTGAGTTTTGCTTTAGTCTATGCCACTTTAAGTATGTGTTACTCTATTTTCACACATCTGGCCACTGTACTAGTGTTGCAAACATGTTATGAACTCTAATAGTTTATTATACACAGACATACGTTGAACTGTTACACTCTAGTAGGGTTGACACACTAAGTATTTTATATCTAAATGTAGATATTTTGTCCTTTACAGAGAAAATATTGTAATATATCTAAAATCATTAATATAGTACAGAAGCGTTTGCAAGAATAAACGTTACAGTTTTTCACGCTTGAACAATGCAAGCAAGTAAATTTCAAGCAAGTAAAAATGGAGCTATTTAAATCTTCACTGGCATGATCCAATTTTAAATATTTTTCAAACTTGCAAGTACTAAAAGAAAATGAAAAGATTTCCGACCGTAATTTGGAAATATATATTAAACATCTTGATAAATTAAGATACTTTAAAGCACGTTTTGAAGACTTGAGAATATGCATGTTCCTGAATGGTTTGCTAATCCATTTGATGTAAAAATAGATAATGAAGGTAGTGAATCTAGCTTAGAAGATGAACTGAGTGAAATATGTGTAGATTTCAAAGCTAAAGCATTGTTTAAAAATAAAAACCTCAGTGAATTTTGGAGCAATAACAATATTGCCCTAAATATCCCAAGCTCAGAGCAGAAGCCGAACCTTTCTTACTTGCATTCCCAACTTCATACATGGTTGAAGCTGGTTTTAGCCACACAAATGCAATTTTGACAAAACGGAGGAACAGATTGAAATTGGAAAGCTATGGTGATTTGCGACTATAACTTACCAATTTTCAACTGCATATCAATAATCTTGCTGCTTCTCTTCAGACTCATCCATCTCACTAATATCAACTATTTTAATAAAAAGGCATGTCAATATATTTTTAAGGAATTCAGTAGTAGTCGCAAAATAACAGTAAGAGGTTTTTTTCATCCAATATAACTTATGTTTTCAAAGATAAGTGTGTATTTTACATATTATGACACGTACAGTTTAAGAACTATAGGCAAATTTCCATCTATCCATAATTTTGCTATTATTTTTTAAGATCATAAATCAGTGAAAATGATCTCCTTTTTCTGTTAATGTTATTGAAAGTATTTTATAAGATATGGGAACTATAAATTCTTTTGTTGGGTTGTTATGCAGGACTTTTTATCGCTTAACATTAGAAATGCAAAAATGACTTAATGTTTTTGTTAAATACTTAATCTGGGGATCGATAAGAAGGCAAATATTCTATAAAGGGGTCGACAGGATAAAAAGTTTGGGGACCCCTAATTTAGATGAATGTGTTGCTTAAATTTAATAAAAATCTTAAGTGTTTAGCCATATCTTTATGTTGTAGTATACCAAGGCTGCCCAAATCCAGGCCCACAGGCCACTTTGTGGCCCGCCAACGTATTTGAATTTGCCCCCCCACAGTAGTGGTAGGCTGTCACCATGCATGATGTCGTGCTACCAATAATGCCAACCTCCATGTGATTGGTCAATTGCGGAATGAACTTTGACTTGAGTCACCGCCAAACCGCTGTTAATACCTAACATATGCATTTATTACACTTGTTCTATTAGTTTTGAGTCAACTTTTGTGTATTAAAATTAAATTTTTGCCACCAAATATTGAAAAATTATTAGCTAATAAGCTCCTTCATAGGTCTCATTGATGTATTTTTTATTAGGTATTATTAAAACTTGTGCAACTTAAAGTTTTGTTTGATTCAAATACCTATCCATTTATAGAAGAATCATGAGTGTAAGCAAGTATGATTCCCTAGGTGGCTGACATGTAATTGAAATTATAGCCCGCCTCCGAAATGAATTGGGCAGCCCTGCAGTATACAAATATTTTTTTAATGCATTGAACAAAACTGTGAATAGCTCTAAAAGAGAATATCCAGAGAAAGAGATTTGTTTTTAAAATATATACAGTCTATTGTATTCTTAATTTCAAATTAAGATCCTCAAATACTATGCTTCATGTATTCTTAACATAAGTTACTTTGGTACATGGTTTGTTGGAGTGTTACTAGATCATAATATGTTAATTTAATTAGAAAGTAATATAAAGCTACATTGCTGCCAAATTTGATTCGTTTTCAATTTCTTAATGCATTATTGTATTTCACATAAGAATTAGTATGAATTACATGCTGTAGAAACTATACACAGCATTTAAATTCAATATTTTAAAAGAGAATGATAAAAGTGTATATAAATCTGTTTCTCATTGCTGCATATATACATAAAATTAATGCAATGTGGATTGTTTTCTTGTAATTACTTCATCATTTGATAATTATATATAAGTTTAATTTCTATGTATGAACATTTACACCTTTCACTTATTAGTTATTGTAAGGCTCATATTGTAGTTCAGAGTGTGATTTGTTGTTGTGAAATAATTAGTTTTTGCTGTAAAGAACGATTGGGTTTGTATCAGTAAAGGCCCTAAATTGTTTGTATCTTGGAGAGTATTTGTCTCCTTCCTACACGAGAAAATATTGTTTCATTTCCAAGATTTCGATGCAAGATTCTGTTAGGCGTGTTGAGAAAATCTCCCATCCGGGCCATTAAAATTTGATGATTAGCAGTAACACTTGGTAGACACGTGGTCGGGAACTTCTAATAAGCATTTTTTGAGTTTATAACTACATAAAACTTGGAATATTTTTACAAAAATACACTATTTTGACACGTTTTAACCCTTATTTACTATCAGAACTTTCACGTTTGTAGTAAACGCGAAAAAATGTGCGTAATTTTTCGGCTAACGCCCAAACCTCTTTTACTCATGGGCGGCGCCATTGCGACCGCAACGCCCACTACGATTAAAAAAATATTTCGAACGTGACGTCACCAATCTAAAATTTAAAAAAATTAATTTATTTAGATGTTGTTTTTATTTATTTACAGAAACTTAGCGATAGGAATAGGAATTCAGAACTTTCCCGAAGGATTGGCCGTTAGTTTACCCCTAAGAGCGGTTGGTGTTTCTTCGTGGAAGAGTTTCTGGTGAGTGTGTTTTGTTTGTTACGGTTTTCTCCGAATTCGTTCCGTCTGTCTGTCCGTTAGTAACTATTGTACTCTTTACAGGTTCGGCCAGCTCAGCGGATTAGTAGAACCCGTAGCGGGAGTAATCGGCGCTATAGGTGTTACGCTGGTAGAACCGGCGTTACCGTACGCTCTAGCTTTTGCAGCGGGTGCCATGATATATGTAGTGATAGACGACATCATACCGGAAGCGCAAATATCGTAAGTAACACGTTACGCGTTATTTTTGGATCATGGCTTTCTAACCTACATCTTCGGCGACTTTCGAAGTCGGGTGGGGGTATTTTTTGTGCGCGCGCGTGTTTGGAGGTCGGAGCGTGAGAACCTCAGAGTGTGGGATGGGAGAACGCGTAACCAGACGATTCCATCGGCTTCCCCTCCTTCCCCGTTCCAGGAAAAAAGGGAAAGAAAAAGCTTCGACAATTGACCCCGCTCCCCTCGTATCACCTGGAGTAAAAACAGGACGAATGCCGAAATAGAATCGTGTTTATATATAGAATGAGAGCCTTATATAGAAGAATTCTAGTGGGGCGTGGGAGGATGCACGCGCATCTAATCGCTCCCCAACAATTTATGAGGGTAAGAAGCTGGAGATAATATATTTTTAGGGTTTCTGACGTTAGCAAGATCGGCGATTATACCTGTATGTGGAGCATCATGTACTCGGTTCTTTATTCACGCGTCACGATACGATGTGGGGGTTAAAAGTAGGACACTCTTAAAGCGATAAATGCGACGAAAAATTCAAATACTCTTGGATAGCTAACCTTATATATATATATATAAACATAAAGAGGCAGCCAAAATGGCGTGGAATGTATTTAGAATCTCGATTGTTGGGGCGTTTACAGCCGGAATTTTTCGAGTTTAGAGCATTATCCAATTAAGAAATTTTATTTTCTTCCCCTTTAAGATGCAGAATGACTGAAATGACGAGAAATCTTTCTTTTCTTTCAGTGGCAATACAAAGTTAGCGTCTTGGTCATCCGTCTTGGGTTTCCTGATAATGATGGCGTTGGACGTGGGTCTGGGTTAAAAACCCTTTTACCTACGACGGGTTATTTCCCTCTTTGCTGTGTCCTCCCCCAAGGTCGACGGTTGTGAACCTGCCGCTGCCGGAAATGATAGTTGTATTGTCGTTTTGTGCATTGCCTCTGCGGAACGAGAGAGAGAGGACTTTGCTCTGTCAAAGTGTAAATATGTGGACCCGTAGACTGCGAAACATGGGGGAATTTTTTTGTTCTTTCCCCTCTTTTCTTATAAAACAGGTGGACTCTAAGCATTCCTCGACAGTTGGATCTCCCCGTTCTCTTCAACACGTTTATTGGGTGTGATTATTATTTTTATGTTTAGTAATGAGAAATTTTGATACCATAATCTGTGTGTGTGTGTGTGTGTACTTAGTTGCGGTTTAAAGCATTTTACAGAACGTATATACATGTATATTATTTTAAACGACCAGTCTGTGTTCGTGTTAAGTATTTTTACACATGATTTTTTTGTGGTAAAGTATTTAAATATTTAAAAAATGACTCGATTTATTTAAATATATTAAAAAAGCTTAATTGTTTATCTGTATAAAGGATTAAAGAATCATCATTGGATGACGATGGATTTTTTTCATGAAATTAAATGTTTTTGTTAGAATTTTTTTAGCTGAAATAGCTAGTTTAGTCTGTATTTTTACTGTAAAAAATGCATATTTTAGCAATGAAATTGTTTTCATTTAGTAAATTTTGGTACCTTTTTTTAAAAAAATCGTTTAGAATACAGTATTAAATTTAGTGATAATTTTTAAATTATTTTAAAATTAAACGGATAATTTATATTATATAAGTAATTAAAACATATTATTTAATTATTAAATAAAGAGTGTGTGTTAATATCACCGCCTGTATTTTTTAACTGTAGGGATTTTTCGTTTAGAATTAGGGAAATTCGAGAAAGTAAAAGTTGTAATAATAGCTGGAAATCTATTTATTTACGATTTTTTAGGTGGAAATAAACATGGTAAGAGCCTCGAAGTGCAATTTTGTGAGCGCGTGTGTTAATTTCCATGTACTTTTAAAGCGTTAAAACACTACGAAGATGTTTCTGTAATCTGGTGGAGGATGAAAAAGTGCAGAAATTCTAAAAGAAAAACAAAAAACAAATAGCTTTTTAGAAGCGGAATGCGGGGCATTATTGTGTAAAAGTAGCGGTTCGGACTTCATTCAGAAAGTCAGCCGGTCTCGTTTCTACTACCAGTTCCCAAGCATTTGTGGAATGCCAGCTATGTTAATATTTGACATGGCCAGCCAATCAGAGACAGGGTCGACAAGGCATCGAACAAACTGGAGGGTGGACCTGTGCTGCGTTCACTCTTGCTCTTTCCATTATGACTCCAAAGCTGTTTGTCGGAGCATCGAACTCTACTATTGTTTTTCGATCCCATTCCTCTACCAGGTGAGTTTATAATTCCAAATTTACGAAATATCCTTGCCCTGTTATCTTATCGATCTTGTTTTTAAATCCGCTCCGAACTAAGTCTCCCCCTTTAGAAAAAAAATAAATAAATAAAATAAAAATAACACTCGGCATTAGTGCGGTGGGAAGGGGGTGAGTTTTTGCGTAACTTTTTCCAGTTGTGTTAATGTAATTACCTCATCGTTTAGTGCACTTAATTAGCGTATAGAATGGGAAACGTTTGTTATTTATTTATTTAATTTCTTTTTTACCCCTTTCAGTCGAAACAATTTCTTTAATGTATATTATTGCTTTTTCTGAACTTCCGGGTAATGTTATCAACCTGGTTTATGAATTATTGGATGCGATATTTGTGTTGTTTATTAACATTAATTAAATTTTTAAACTAGTTAATTAACTAATTAACTATATTCCAATTACTGTCTTCGGTTAATTAACCTTCCTCCTGAAGGTCCCTCGTGTTGCAAATGCCATTAAAAGTCGAAATTTTCGCCGATTTTAATTTCGTGCCCCGACAAGATCGTTAATACTAGAAAATAGTTGAGATTTTTTGAGTCGTAGTTCAGTTTACTGTTGCCAAAATTGATTTCTTTTTATTGGTTCGAGGCGTGTTTAATGGCTTAAAATGTGTTTTAACGCTTTAAAAACCTTTAAATTTGCGAATAAGTCGTAAATTTAAAGGGGCGGAGATGGGATAAAATGCTTAAATTTAATTATTTTATCGTCACTTTTTTTCTTAATTATTTCTTAATGTTGTTTAAGGTTTCTGTTTAGGATATACGCCCTCTTAATTATAGCAATCTGGTGATGGCACCGAAAAGAGGTGGTTCGGGATTATCAAGTTTCAATTGTGTTAAGTTCTTAAATTGCTCTGTATTTTTTATTTATTTATTTTTTAAATCTGTTTCCTCTCTCCCTCCAATTTCTAACTCGCAGGTTTTAATTTTAAGATATAGAACAACTACAATTTTTGGAGATGTCCCCAAAAATTTATTTTTAGGGGGGTGATCTTCACGTAAAAATTAAATTACAAGCTTAAAAAATTGCTTTTTAAAAGACAAAAAATATTTTTTAAACGAATGAAATTAGAATTCTTTGTTATAAAATTTTTTTTGACAGAACGGCAACATTGTTACGTCATAATTGAAACTTTTTTAAAAATGATTTGTGACGTAATAATGGAAGAAGAAAAATATTTTTTCTGTGTTATTTGTCGCGTCATAATGGACTTTGTGTGATGCCATATTTAATATAAATCGGGTTAAAAATTTAAATTTGAGTTTAAAATTTTTCTATAAATTTAAATTAATTGTAGATTTAAATCTGTGCCGTTATCAGTAAATTAAAGTAAATATTTTTAATTGTAAATTCTAAATATAAATTCGCTTATTGTGTATACTTATATACACAAGCTTATTATACGTAAAAAATTGTTTTATATTTAATTGTTAAATTGTAAGAAATTATTTTTGTTATTATTATTATTATTATTTTGCATTTAAAATATTTTGCATTTTTTAAATGTTAATTTAATAAAATATAAATAAAAAAAATTGTGATGTCACAAGCCATGCTTGAAGTTAACAATAAACAGATTCAGAAGAGTATTTTTTGAATTTTTATTTTAAAAATTAATTATTTAACGAATTCTTAAAGTTTATATGCATTTATTTTAATTATTTTAATTAATGTTAAAGGTTCAATAGGGCTTTATTGTTGTTAGATGCATAGAAGCCTTGTAATTTCCTTAAACTAAACTATTAACAGAATTTTATCTTAATTTTAACTCAAGTTATTAATCGATTAATAATCGCGTTAAAATAATTTTTAAACTCGATCTTTAACATTGTTTTCTGTCTAATTTAAAAGAAAAATATGGAATAGAATCTAAAAAAACACGTCAAAAATTCATTCGAAATGCTAAAAAAAATGTAAATAAATTTTAATTACCGACGTCACAGGCTAGTAACAATACTTAATCCGTTTCAAACAATTAAGAAATGGATTAATTTTGATCTCCAGTGACGTAACAATCAAACACTGGCGATGTTTAAACAATTAAAACGTCACAACGAACGTGTCGATAAATCGATTAATTTCATTCCGAAATCGATTATTTTTTAAAAATTTAAGCGAAAAGTGGCGTGAACTTAACAAAACGAAGCCAATTTTAACTAGTACTATATATATTTTAAAAAAAAATAAATATATATAATTTATATTAAAAAATAGTTTGATAATNTTAACAGGTGGAAATGGGCATTTGGACGATTGACATTTCCGTATTTTTTTAAACTTTGTTCTTTATTCCACTTCCAAGTTGCTACGGGGAATTTCTTTGCTCTAGATTTTTCTCTCCCATAGTGATTATTCGTCTTCTTCGATGGAGGTCCACTCCATGTTATGGACAATTTCATATTTAATTATTAAATAAAGAGTGTGTGTTAATATCACCGCCTGTATTTTTTAACTGTAGGGATTTTTCGTTTAGAATTAGGGAAATTCGAGAAAGTAAAAGTTGTAATAATAGCTGGAAATCTATTTATTTACGATTTTTTAGGTGGAAATAAACATGGTAAGAGCCTCGAAGTGCAATTTTGTGAGCGCGTGTGTTAATTTCCATGTACTTTTAAAGCGTTAAAACACTACGAAGATGTTTCTGTAATCTGGTGGAGGATGAAAAAGTGCAGAAATTCTAAAAGAAAAACAAAAAACAAACAGCTTTTTAGAAGCGGAATGCGGGGCATTATTGTGTAAAAGTAGCGGTTCGGACTTCATTCAGAAAGTCAGCCGGTCTCGTTTCTACTACCAGTTCCCAAGCATTTGTGGAATGCCAGCTATGTTAATATTTGACATGGCCAGCCAATCAGAGACAGGGTCGACAAGGCATCGAACAAACTGGAGGGTGGACCTGTGCTGCGTTCACTCTTGCTCTTTCCATTATGACTCCAAAGCTGTTTGTCGGAGCATCGAACTCTACTATTGTTTTTCGATCCCATTCCTCTACCAGGTGAGTTTATAATTCCAAATTTACGAAATATCCTTGCCCTGTTATCTTATCGATCTTGTTTTTAAATCCGCTCCGAACTAAGTCTCCCCCTTTAGAAAAAAAATAAATAAATAAAATAAAAATAACACTCGGCATTAGTGCGGTGGGAAGGGGGTGAGTTTTTGCGTAACTTTTTCCAGTTGTGTTAATGTAATTACCTCATCGTTTAGTGCACTTAATTAGCGTATAGAATGGGAAACGTTTGTTATTTATTTATTTAATTTCTTTTTTACCCCTTTCAGTCGAAACAATTTCTTTAATGTATATTATTGCTTTTTCTGAACTTCCGGGTAATGTTATCAACCTGGTTTATGAATTATTGGATGCGATATTTGTGTTGTTTATTAACATTAATTAAATTTTTAAACTAGTTAATTAACTAATTAACTATATTCCAATTACTGTCTTCGGTTAATTAACCTTCCTCCTGAAGGTCCCTCGTGTTGCAAATGCCATTAAAAGTCGAAATTTTCGCCGATTTTAATTTCGTGCCCCGACAAGATCGTTAATACTAGAAAATAGTTGAGATTTTTTGAGTCGTAGTTCAGTTTACTGTTGCCAAAATTGATTTCTTTTTATTGGTTCGAGGCGTGTTTAATGGCTTAAAATGTGTTTTAACGCTTTAAAAACCTTTAAATTTGCGAATAAGTCGTAAATTTAAAGGGGCGGAGATGGGATAAAATGCTTAAATTTAATTATTTTATCGTCACTTTTTTTCTTAATTATTTCTTAATGTTGTTTAAGGTTTCTGTTTAGGATATACGCCCTCTTAATTATAGCAATCTGGTGATGGCACCGAAAAGAGGTGGTTCGGGATTATCAAGTTTCAATTGTGTTAAGTTCTTAAATTGCTCTGTATTTTTTATTTATTTATTTTTTAAATCTGTTTCCTCTCTCCCTCCAATTTCTAACTCGCAGGTTTTAATTTTAAGATATAGAACAACTACAATTTTTGGAGATGTCCCCAAAAATTTATTTTTAGGGGGGTGATCTTCACGTAAAAATTAAATTACAAGCTTAAAAAATTGCTTTTTAAAAGACAAAAAATATTTTTTAAACGAATGAAATTAGAATTCTTTGTTATAAAATTTTTTTTGACAGAACGGCAACATTGTTACGTCATAATTGAAACTTTTTTAAAAATGATTTGTGACGTAATAATGGAAGAAGAAAAATATTTTTTCTGTGTTATTTGTCGCGTCATAATGGACTTTGTGTGATGCCATATTTAATATAAATCGGGTTAAAAATTTAAATTTGAGTTTAAAATTTTTCTATAAATTTAAATTAATTGTAGATTTAAATCTGTGCCGTTATCAGTAAATTAAAGTAAATATTTTTAATTGTAAATTCTAAATATAAATTCGCTTATTGTGTATACTTATATACACAAGCTTATTATACGTAAAAAATTGTTTTATATTTAATTGTTAAATTGTAAGAAATTATTTTTGTTATTATTATTATTATTATTTTGCATTTAAAATATTTTGCATTTTTTAAATGTTAATTTAATAAAATATAAATAAAAAAAATTGTGATGTCACAAGCCATGCTTGAAGTTAACAATAAACAGATTCAGAAGAGTATTTTTTGAATTTTTATTTTAAAAATTAATTATTTAACGAATTCTTAAAGTTTATATGCATTTATTTTAATTATTTTAATTAATGTTAAAGGTTCAATAGGGCTTTATTGTTGTTAGATGCATAGAAGCCTTGTAATTTCCTTAAACTAAACTATTAACAGAATTTTATCTTAATTTTAACTCAAGTTATTAATCGATTAATAATCGCGTTAAAATAATTTTTAAACTCGATCTTTAACATTGTTTTCTGTCTAATTTAAAAGAAAAATATGGAATAGAATCTAAAAAAACACGTCAAAAATTCATTCGAAATGCTAAAAAAAATGTAAATAAATTTTAATTACCGACGTCACAGGCTAGTAACAATACTTAATCCGTTTCAAACAATTAAGAAATGGATTAATTTTGATCTCCAGTGACGTAACAATCAAACACTGGCGATGTTTAAACAATTAAAACGTCACAACGAACGTGTCGATAAATCGATTAATTTCATTCCGAAATCGATTATTTTTTAAAAATTTAAGCGAAAAGTGGCGTGAACTTAACAAAACGAAGCCAATTTTAACTAGTACTATATATATTTTAAAAAAAAATAAATATATATAATTTATATTAAAAAATAGTTTGATAATAGAATGGTCAACTTATTAGCTTATATAATTAGAATTTAATAATAAAAATAATAATTATTAAGCGATCGATTATTTAACAAAAAAATCGATTGTTGCCTCGTCCGCACTTCGCCACTTTTGGTATCTCCTCCCCTCCAGGAAACTCGATTTAGCAACTGCGCAGTTCTAGTTTCTGTTGACGTTCAACGTGGATCGCTTATCCACGAATCGTTCTACCCCCGAAAGTGTTCCATCTTGGAAATTTTGGTAAGTTTTTTAAGGCATTGTTAGACCGATAAGGGGCATAGTAATGTAATGTCTGGTGCCATAAACCGCTTAAAACACTGGTCCCGACTTTAGGGTTAGGAACGTTTCCTATCGTCTTCGATTTCCGCCGATTAAAGGGTTATTCGGTGTCCTAAACTGTGTTAAAGTTTACCCAACAAAGAAAATTAACCTTTGACACAGTTTAAATCGATGTAATTGTCTTCACGTTTGTTTATTCGTTTCGATTATAAAGGTCGAAAGATGGTTGTCGGGTTTCCCGCCATAAACGAACGTCGTCTGCTGTCTTTCCGCCATTTTGATGGTTTCGATAATCGATTTATCGCTCGATTAATTCATTTGCAGTCGTCTTAACAGTCGCTAACAATTCGGAGACGGTCACGTGTCCGATTAAATGGGATAAACTGGGCTCGTGGCGTTGCTGCTCTCCCGCTTATTCCACGCGATTATCCAGTCGATCTTAATCGATTAATTGCTCCCAACTTCTAAAAAAATATTTAAAAAATTACTCTGTCGTCGGGTCGAAAGCGCTCGATTCGATTTTATCCACCGTCGAATCGGATATATCCCGTTTAATTTAATTTTGAGGCCATCTTGTCGCGTATTTCTCACTTAATTCGTTTCACGGAATTGGTTATGTAAGCTGCAAGAAAATCGTTTTTATAATCGATTATCGATTAATTTACTTAAAATTTTGTTTTTGTAGCATCAAAAAGGCTCCAAAGTACTTAAAATCGATTTTAAATGCATCGTATTTGTAGGTTTAAAGTTCTATTTCTGCACAAACAGCTTCGATTGTGCTGCTGTTTCTTCTGTTTAAACTGCTCTAAAATTTTCTATTTTAATACAAAAAAACGCGAAGAATTCACTTCCACGTGTTATAATTACTTAACTACGAAATTAATCGAAAGAAGAGAATTTAATCGCGATTATTACGTCACGAATCGATTATTTGTCAGTTTCGTATGGGAATTTTTTCGATTTTTTGCGTTGAATTTTTGAAATAAAATCGATTTCGTATTTTTTTCTTTGGATTTATTAAAGACGTAGTTTAATGCGAACGAAAATTCTAGGCCTGTCCTTGAGGTGATGACGTCATTGGAAGATTTTTGTGCATTCGAGAACACTTCAATATGTTTTAATTCGGTGTGACGTCGGACGAAAAAATCGGATATAAAAATTTTTAAACGCACCCCGATGGAAACAATACTACATGTTGTTTCCACTAAACTTAAGTATTTGTCGTACCAAAAGCCAGGCAATAATTTCTGCATTTTATTTAAAAAAATCACAAAAAAATGTACTGTGCATCTTCGTTTTATTATTACGTCACACGATATTTTAAGCAGATTTATTATTATTGTTTCGTTTTAATCTCATTGTTACGCATAAAGAGAAGAGTTATCAAACTATTATTACGTCACAATATCGCTGACTGGAAACAATTAACCGTGTATCGATCTATTGTGACGATTTTAATGTCGTGTTGAATTCTGGATGACGCGAGATTTACGAAATTTCTATGACATCACACGAGATTTATTGATAGTTAAGGGGTTAATAATTATTATTTTATAATAAATTTGGAGTAAAAAACGTTATAAATAAGGCGCCAAATGAGACATTGAAAGAACAATAGAAGTCGGAGGTGGTGTTTTAGACTTTTTCTCGTGTAATTTGAGGAGTGTGATTTAGTTTTATCCAGTTTTAATAATAAAATCTAGTGTTTGTGTAGTGTTAGATAGTACTTCTTAGAAGGTTTTTCTTTTGTTTCTACGTTGCATATTCTATTGTGATATCACAATGGATCACTTAGGGTTAGTTTGTTGTTATTAGACTAACAAGTGTGATCTATTTTATCTCGTTGACATTTTTTCGTATTTGAAAAAAAGTCACACCAGTGATCAAACAATTGAGTATTTTTTTATATACAGTAGTCCTATATGTACAGAAGAAAGAAAAGGAAGAAAAAATTAATACTCGATTTTTCATTGAGGACAATTCTATTGTTACGTAAAAATTCAAATTAATTCTATTATGATGTCACAAGTAATCGATTACATATCTAATTCGATGATTAATTTATTATTATTATTATGATACAAAAATTTCGTTTATAACTAATCGAGTTTTCGCGTGTTGAACGGTATTGTTACGTCACCGAAAAGAGATTTATATTATTATAATAGTTACGATATTAGTATTGTTACGTTATATCATTTCGATTTTTTGGCGTAGTAAATCGAATCACGTGTTTGCTGTTTCAATTATCGAGCGCGAAAAGGAAGAGGGGAGGCCTGCGTGACGTCACAGGTAGTAAAATATAACAATTCGGTGCGCGATTAGCTATTAATTAGTATTTTTGGAAATGATGGTTTGGACGATTGGCGAGCGCGAGAAGCGAATTTTGAAAATTTTTCTGTTATGTAAATTATGACCCTCAATGAGTACTATGGTCAGACTAGAGCGCGGGAAACTCGTTTTGACCTTGAAGATATACCTGTACATACAAGAAAAAGTTGGCTCGGTATGAAAAACAGGTGGCCAGACTCTTAAAATATTTTTGAAAAAATCAGAAATTTCGACATCATCGACCCTCCCAGGGATCGGAATTTTTGCCAAACGTCACGTTCCCTCCCCCAGAAGAGGAGGGAAAAAATTCGATTATTATTTTTTTTATAGCATCCTCGAGACACTCGCGGAAATTCTTCGAATTTATCTCGCGCCATTCCCGCCGTTTTAGGGGCGTTACGCGCGATACCGCGAGATTTGAGAAAACAAAAAAAAAAACAAAAAAAAAGAAAGAAGAAAAAAAGATTTTTGGGTCATCGGGCCCATTTGGCGTCGGCTTGGTGACGCAACGCCAGACGATTCGGAATATTTAAGTGTCATCGGTCACGTGATTGGCACACGTGCCGATAGACTGCATGACGCCACGTAGGAATCACGTGGCTCATAACTAGTACGAGTTCTTGACCTAGTTCTGGTGACTGGCTGTTCCTTCCCATATAAACGTGGGTGTCAAATTGTGGTAGGTGAGAAAAATCTTTTGAATTTGTAAATATATATATATATATATATATATATATTTAATAAAACGACAAGTTTTTAGAGTTACGCTCGCTACAAGTCTTTCGAAGGTGAATCAGTAACGTGAAGTCATTTTCGGTAATGTGTTACGCGCGTAACATCGGGTTTTGCGCTAATGAATTTATTCACATCCTAGTGAATAACGCCAGTTTTAGCATGACTAATTTAAGTAGTTATTATGACATTTTTTTTTCCGCCTATTTCGTGGCAGATAATTCGAAATATTAGGGAATATATACGCGAAAATCTACTGAAAATTTCGTTTTCTTGCGTCATTGTACTACGATCTCGCGATAACCTTGAATTGAATTACTGAACATTTCTCTTCAGGATAAGGTTCCCTGGCACAAATTACTACGTTTGAGTTGAATGAATGGCTTGCTTGTTTTGGAAAAAATGGGACAAAAACCCATAGCGCCATCTGTGAATGGTTTTAAGAATTTTTATTCATTATTTTATTTTATTTTTCTAGTTATAGTTTAAATTTTTGTATGTAATATTTATTACTGAATTATTTATATAATAAATTTAAATGAATTTTTTTTACTATAATGTCATTAAATATTAAAATTTTAAGCGTAATATATTTTTTAAAAATAAATATAATTATGAAACTGTGTATAAACTAACAATAATTTTAAGAGTTACCGGTCAATAATTATGTAATGTTTATTCCCTCTGTTTCATTAAGTTTATATTATGATGTGTATATTTAAGTTTTATGGATAAATTAAATTTTTAATTTTCTTATGGTTTAAGTCTATTTATTTGTATGCAATTATATACTGTATATATAAACCATAATAAAGTATGTTCTGCTGCTTTTAATATTAGATTATACGCGAGAATTCTAAATTTACATTCTCGTGCACAATCTAAATATAAAAGTAATAGAATTGCTTTATGAAGCTTGTGAAAAATTAAAATTGGAAGAATAACACGTGCTTTCCGCGTGTAAAAAAATGGGGCGAAAATGAACACCAAAAATAAATATAATTAATCAGTTCGTGGGAGAAATAGACACGAAACGAACACGTGAGGGGAAAAACACGTGGTTTAAAAAAACAAAACGAAATCGACACTGAAACGACACAAAAATTTATAATACGAACGACACGTGCGAAATGAAATGGACACGAAAAATTCGTAGAAAAACTCTGGAATCTGGCACTTAAAAGAGTTAATAAAGGAGAAAATTCGAATGAAAATATTTGATACGTAGTTAAAATTAAAATAAACAATTGTGTTTATTAAATTTTCCTTCTTTACCGAATTGCTAGCATTATATGGAAGGTATAAGAAGTGGAGTAGGAGGAGGAGGAGGAAGAAGAAGAAGAATAATCTCACACAGGATAGCATTCCTGGTTTGACTATTACAGCTTCCTGCTTTTAGTTCATTTACATAACTATGCATCTGTATAATCTCTCCATTTGCATAACTGGTCGTTAGAAATTTTACACCCGCTCTATCGGTGCCATTTGTGCACCGACGGTCACGTTATTTGACCAAAGTGAAGCTTAAAAAAAGGGAAGCGATCTTCTCTTCTTATGTAACTGTAACACGGAACTCGATTTGTTATTGCGTAAAGTAGTTTGCACTTGTGCAGTGATTTACCCCTTTTTTTCATTATTGCATCGACACTGGTGTTCTGTTCTGGCCGACTGTTTTCATAAACGCTAGTCAATGTGTCTCGTATCGTTTGCAGTTTGTGTACACCTGTGTACAGTGGACTTCACATTACTCATAATGAGTAGTATTACTCATTATGATACTACTGATTACTAGTAGATTTACAAGAAAGCACCCCTGCAATTACTAGTTTCCAATACCCGTATAATTGTGAATAATACTTCACGTATACAATGAATACCTGTACTTTAAGTATGGGTAT